GTTGCTTGTTTTCTAAAGTTTTCTGAAAAGTAATTTTGCACCTTGGCCAAAACTCAAAACCAATCAACTGCTTCTTACATGGCAGCAGCACCTAGCGACATGTGGGCATATCTGTCTTGGTAACATATCACTAGAGCATTTCTTTGCAATTTATTCACTCTTCCCTCAGACAAGGTGCCAGCACAGGGACCTGTTGCTTGGCAGTCAGGTACTGAACTTCTTTTTCTCAAGTAGGAGTGTCAAGCACTACACCCCTATAAAAGGTTGCAAACATGGAAATGCAGTTAGTTTTGTCACAAACAACTATTCCTTAATAAAATTTTTCTTTCTAAAACACAAAAGCAATTTAGCTTGTTGTTAAAAGGGAACCTGAATATTTGGTAGAATCAATTACTTTAGTTAATCAGAAAAGACATTGAAGTTTTTTGGCGCAAGTATAAAATAAAGGTGTCTCAGGTAGAGGTTTGCTGGTGAAGATGCTCTTGTCAGTTTGAGCATCTGACTGATCTCTCATTTTTGGCTTTAGAATTGCTGGCTCAATTACTGTCTCTTGCTGCTTCCTACCTGCATCTTTCAACCATATCCCTTTCTTTCATGATTGCGATTGATGCATGTGCACCATCCTGTCACCTAACTTCTGACACTTTAATACTGGTCGGATATTCAACTATTTTTGTGGATATATAAGAGAAAATTGTTGGAGTACCCTGTACTTAAAGAGCTAGYGTGTCAGGTCAAATAGGGACAGGCCCTCTATGCAACCTAGCRAACAGCAGTGGCTATTAATGAATGTTTGGAGAAGCCATGTAAATAATATCTGGAACTGTAGAATTTAAAAGGTTACCAGTGTGTTTAAAAATACCCCCAACTTACTGTTTTAAAATGTCTTTTGGRTAGTCCTAAGACTAGCAAAGCTGCTAAAGTAAATTTTTTATAAATATCGTGCTGCTATTTATTTCTTGCGCTGTTGTTACCACTTAAATAGTGTCTATATTGTTTRCAGTAATGTCCACAGTATTTGTATTTGAAGTTACTTACAGTAGCAGGTGTTAAATGTTCAAATAAAATCATCAGTTGGAAGATGAGTTTGTCTTTATTTAGTTTGTGTGGCAGAGTTCATGTAGTGCCATACGGCACAGATAAACTGTTACTGTATTTCATGTTTCAGAGCAGAGGACATTTCTGAACTAATATAAGGCAAATTTATTCTATAATTCACCTTGTGTCATTGGGTAATCATTGGTTTTATGAAACATTTCAACTTTTTTTTCTTGTTTCCTGTGAATTGTTTTAGTTAGGGTTTGGATTTATTGTTTTGGCTTTTTTTTTTTTTTTTAATTAGCAGTGCTGTACCATATTTCTTGCATGAAATGAAGATGCAAACTTAAATACAGATCCAAAATAGAGGTCCTTATCAGATCAAAACTGGGGGAACAAAAAAAAGGCAGTTTTAAAGCAGAAGTTCCCAAACTTACTCTGCTGAAGTTTGGTCACTGACATTAGATATCTAAAGTACTGRTGCCAATGGTGTTAATTTCTCTGGTTTTATAAGTATCTCTCAGAACAGGACCTCTGTCCTACATTAATTAATCTGTGAAACACCCGAAACCAGGTCCCAGTGCTTCTGCCTCACTTAGRGGTTCATCACCCCCTAATTCACTCCATCCTTTTGTCATCTATCAAAATCTATCTCTGTATAGCAGGTACCCTTGGAATAACACTACCTGATTAGAAAACATTTAAAGTGAATTGCAAGTATGGTACTGGTTATGAGTGCATTTGGGAAGTGCTAAAACGTTCCATGCTTAGGAATAATGTGTGGCAAGTAACTGGTCCCACAAACCCTTCTGCAGATAAGTAATCCTATCAAAGGCAGTTGAATGCATTTGATTAAGGATTACACGYGATTAGTGGTCTGCAAGGTTAAAAGTACAACTTGTATCATTAATGAGTATTCACATATTAATGCTGCTTTGAGCAGAGATTGTACTAGATGACCTCTGAGGCCTGTTCCAACTAGAATGATTTTTTGATTATCACAMTTGTATTATGTAAATAGATGCCTATAAAACATCCATTAGTTGAAAAACCTAAACTTTAGTAAGTCGCTGTCATTATTTTACCTGTTGTATCATGTTGTAGTATGGAGGTGCAAATTTGATCCAAGTTTAAGATTTAAAACAGTGAGAGAAATACACCCATTCTCTTTCTGTGTATTCCTTCAAATTCCTTGTATAGTTTTGTATCAGATTGAATTCCTTGCACAGGAGTTCCTTCCTAGCATATAGTTGACTTGGTTCCAGCTCTGGAACTAGTCCAGAGTTGAGTGCCTGAAAATTTGGTACTTTGTGTGCAGTTAAGGTGTGCAAATAGATTTAACCTTACTCTGCCTTATTCAGGAACTACTAGTGCTAAGACTGTAACAAAGGCACCAGTGCAGGTTAGCAGCCTGGGAAAGGCTTGAGGCCCTAAAAACTTCCCAAAGCAAGGACTCAGAATGTGAGAGGGCATTCTTGTATTTAAAAAAAAAAAATAATCCCAAACCCACTACTGCTCCAACAAACCTCCCCACAGAATATAGTCTGTAGGTTCTGAATACAGGTAGATGTTGAGACACAGCTGGTTGAGTTTAATAAACAATAGTGTGATCCTTATCATGTGCAGGGAATCACATGGATTTTCTTCCTGTGTTTTGATAAAATTTGTACCCATAGATACTTCTGTAACTGTTCTCTTTTACTATTGTTAATTACTTACTTCTAAGAAGAAGTTGTTGGTAAGAGAGGAAATCTCCAAAATGTTGCCTGTAAAAGGCCAGTCACTTTCACATGCATGCAATTATAAATGTTTTTTATGTAATGTTTTAACCCTCACAATATGTGAATTAACCTCAGTAACAGACTATAATTGTRTCATATTGGTAGCAGTGTATTTCAGGGAAATGCTTGGTTGTATGCTTTCATTTAAAAACACAAGGAGGATGATAACATCATAAGTAAGTTGTTAAGGACCTGGCAGGTCTCTTGGGCTTTTAGGGAGTATAGAAAGCAATTAAAAGGAATAAGAAGTGCTAGGAAGGAATGGAGTTATTTCTTTATGCTACTCTGCACCACAAGGATTYGCATTGCCGACGTTTTATTCTTTTCAAATAATATTGATTGGATGTTATCTGATTTTGGGATTAGAGAAGCAAAAGGCTGAATGCTAGAATAAAGTGCTAAAGACTCCTAAGTCACAAGCACTCGATGCTATTCATTCATTTAGTAGTTCTAAAGGATGAAGTGGCTGATCTGCTAAGAAGAATGCATCTCGTTAGGATGAGATGCTGTGCCAGAAGACCGGAAGCTGTCAAGTGTTGTACATACCATACTTTTAAACTGAATACAAGGAGCAGAGCTGGAATTTGCAGACCAAGGACTCTTATTTTAATGCCACTTAAGTAGATTTGAATTCTGCATGGATAGTCAAGTAGTTCAAGAGCATAAAATACAACAGCTTTCTATGTAGTTGTGTCTTAGAGGTAATGAAAAATACCAGCTGTAGCTGGGGTACTTGTGTCTCTTGTTTATGTGTTTGTTCCCTAAAAAAATGGACATAAGGCTGCAGTCTGTACTTCAGCTTCGTTGGTTTGTGGGTTGATCTTCTGTATCTACCTGCCCAGCACTTGGATTTTGGAAATCTCTGAATTCTTATTAAACCATAAATGACTTTCCCATTTTCTTTTTTTGATGAAATTTGAAATTAGGTAGTGGATTCAAAAGTTAGAAAGGGTCAGGTCTAACCTAAGCAGACCTGTTAAACAGCATTAATGTATTCTGTGTTTAGCACTCTAAACAATGATCTAAGTTGTTCCTTTTGGTAGTAGAAAAGAKATGGACCCACATATTCATAAAATCACACACTGTGTAGTTCATCACATCTTGAACTTGCAGTGTATGGCCTTTGGCAGGAAATTGTACCCCAGGCAATTTTGCTGTGGCTTTACAAGTCACCAGTTTTGATGCTATTGTGGGGATGATGAACGGTGATGCAGACATGGAATTAAAAGTTAAAGCAGTCCAGTAGTACACTATACCGCTTTCAGCAGCAAAGCAGTGATTCACCTTGGAATTTACACTCAGGTGACAACAGCAGTTTAAGTGCTGACATTTGTAGCTGCAATTAGCTATGTGGTCTTGTTCCCTCACTTTCCCTCCTGTTGTATTAGCACAGTGATTTGTGCCATCATGAAGTGACTTGAATCATAAAATTGCTTCTCACTTCAAGAGGAGTCTGTGGCAAGCAGCGATTTCTAAACCAAGCTAGTTCCTCAGTCTSGTCTAGTGGGTGGTTCCACCAGGAGATGGAATTATGACATAAGGGCGAGAAAAAGGGTCAGGAGGGTCCTCTCTCTTTGAACTGGCATTTTACCACAATAGATGCTCATCAGATTATGCCTCAAGAATCTTAGATGTGACTCATCTTGCCCTCAAATAAGCATCCCAAGAAAAATACTGCATACATTCTGTAAAATCAGAGAAAGTTGTGAGAAACATGAGGGCAATCTTCTAAAGCTGGCTGTATTGACATGATAGTGGTAGATGACATTTGGTGTTTGTAGCTACAAAATAATTCATGCTGAAAGGAGCAACTTGAACTACTTGAAGATAATTCTGTATTACAAGCGAACGTTCTGCAAAAATACGTGTATCATTATAGATGCCCAGGTGAAAGCTTCTTTGCAGAGAAGAAACACAAAATATACAAGAAACAGCTCTAAAATATATTGAAATGGTGCTCTGCAGAAGCATTAAATGGAAATTCTTTGTCTGGGCATATCTGCTCAGATGAATAGTCCATCTAGTTTAATGAATTAATTTATACTCTCATCAATCAGTGCATATATTTATATTAYAAATATGTGCTTTAAATGCTGTTGATAAGTAACAAGTTATTGAAAACTAAGTAAAGTATTTTCAGTAAGTTTACACAAAATGAAGTGCTGTATTTCTTGCTTTCAGTTCAATTCCTTCAGATGATCTGTAAATTTTCAATAATGGCAATACATTCATTCTGCCGTTTGGAGGAGCCTGTGCCACAGCATAATGATCTGAAGAAAGCTCACTTACTTGCAARGAAGAGTCTTCATTTGGGAATTAGCACTGATGCAGCTCAGAGGTGCTTTTTCAAGTCTAGGTAAGTTTTCTTAAATTACACTTACTTGGGTTTCGTATGCTGGCATTTCATTTAAGTTAGCATATATGTTGTATCCTGTCAGAGCCTTTGTGTTGGTCATTTGACATGTGAAGTATCTTGAAATTAAAAGGCATATGTAGGAGCACACATACTTATGAGTGGAGGGAAATTGTCTGGAAAATAAGTTTAGCAAAATTTATTATCTGAGGAGAAGCTGTTAACGGAGGTTATGATCATAATGACACAATTTCCCTTTGCTGTGTTCTTTTTGAGGATTTTCTTATGTGTTTATGTTATAAATTCAATATTTTGCTGAGCCAGAGTTGTTTTGGGTCAAAATGTTAGTTATTAAGTTTCACATTGTTCAGAGGAAGTAAAAAGAAAGTTGCAGTTAGGTTTTCACAACTTGGAAAATTTTCTACTTTAAAAAAGTCAGCTTTGGAGTTTTCTGCCAATCAGATTTTATTCTTTTTCTAAGACAGAAAAGTCTTGGCATTGTAACACTGGATTTAATTTTAGATGAATGGTTGCTGTATGTAGTGTTCAATTTTTTCAAGACATCCAGTTCTTTTTATAAGTTATTAATGACTTCACAGCATGAACTGGTTTCTAGTCATATTCTACATGGGAACTGTATGCAACATTCAATAAGAAGTATTAACAGTAGATTAATAACATAATTGTGAATATTTAAAAAGAGACTTGAATTTCTTGTGTTCTCATTGCAAATTGCAGGGATTCTCTAACTGGAAATGGGTTTGGTGTTCCAACCAGCAGCGAAATAAATGATAATTTGGARGAAAACTCCAAACAAGCCAACTGCTTCTTATCAGGCAGAGTACTGTTTGTCAGCCTTTTCAGTGGTACACAAATCATGACTCTTTTAATCGTACCTGTCTAGTTTGTTAGACAAATTACTAACTAAACTACTGGGTCACTTGCATCTTTGTAGATGCATACATAATCTGAAAAGCCTTAAGAATATAATTTCTYTTGCTAAAAATCCTACAGAATTAAATGTACTCAATTTTTCAACTATATTCCTGTGGTATCTTTCAGATCTAGAAACAGAGGGTCCTGTTCTGTGTGTTTTTCATGCATGTTTGACTTCTTCTCAGTGCTTTCCTGGTAGAATACTGATGCTGAGAACTTTGGTGACATAGAAAGAGCATCACTTTTTTTAAGCGTACACCTTTAGTTTAGTCCCCTCATACTTGTAGGAGTCATGAAGATAGTGTTTTAAATAAATGCTTGACAAATGTAAAGGATAATTAAAAATCAGAAACTAGTTAAGAAAAGCTTTTGAACTGTTAGCGTACTCCAGACAGAAACAACAGTAGTGAAAAGAAGGCTGTTGTTTCAGTGAACTTCTAAAAATTGAAACGCATTTCAATAAAATCATCACAAAACAGAATTCATTCTGCAAATAGTGCTTATATTTTCTCATCTTGTTTTGCAGTATGAATGCTATGAATAGTGTTCACCAGATACAATTTAATTTTTTTTTAAATGCTACAGAATTATAAAAACTGAGGGTTTTGGTGTATCCAACTTTATTTTTTAAAGAGTAGTTGAACAACTTTATGCTTAAGATTATTAGTATTTCCTGTTGGTGAGAATCAATTCTGGCTGTACATGAAGTCAAACTTCAAATGCAGTTCGATTGAACCTGATGTGGGACAAGAATAAAACGGAAGCCGAATTCAGTATTTATTCACAGTAATGCTTATAATGTCTATAATATGGATATTGAGAGCAGCAAGTGTATTTTTTTTCAGACTCTTTYAGCAGAACTGTTATTTTACTAGCACAACCTATGGTACAAGGATAWAATTTGGTTTCCTTCAAAGAACAGAGTCCTGTGTAAGACAAGTAAGAAGGCGAGGTATTTGAGATTACATMATTTCAGCAAACAGTTAATAGTAATTTTAGTTACTTGTATGCATGCAAATATACTAAAATATATGATTCATCATGCATCAAGAAGTCTTAAACATTTTATATCAGTTCCTTTTTGCTGGTTGGGTTTTTTTCCCGTTTTTATCTCATGGGTGGAATTTCTGAAACCATTCAGCTCTGCTTTCTAAATGTGTATTCTGTGAAATCAATGAGTTGACCTGAGTGGGAATAAAGGTTGGTTTATCTTTGGTGAGACAAAGTTAAGTTGTCAGTAACTGATGTTGAAATCCCATCCTTGAAATGCTCTAGTCCTTGACATTCAGTGGGATGAGAATCTCAGAACTGACTACTGGGGACTCCCAAGCTACAGATCAGGTAAATAACTTCTTTGGAGGAGGAAATTAAAAGTGTCTTATTTTTTAAAATTATGRTAATTAAATAGTGAAGCATGCATCTTAAACTATAAATATTTTCTGCTTATTTAATTTAAAATAGACATGTCTATATTTGTGAGAGGGTTTGTTAGTTGCAGTTTGAGCTTTATATAATTATCTAACATTTTAGAAGCACTGTTTCTAAAGAGGACTTCTGTACTTAGACAGGACATGTACTTGTGTGTAGCTGGTCCAACTACTGTGGTTTCCATTTTGCAAAGACAGATGTTTTTGCTAATGAATGTATCATTTAGAAGTAACAGCTTCCATAGTCGAGTAAGTGATAGGGGCTCGTTTTCATCATGGGGTTAACTTGGGGTTTGTTTTCTGCTGSAGCTGGTCACCATTTTGTCTGAGGATTGGCTAGCTGAGTTGTTTGTGTTGTGACAGCTCAGTATAGCTTGTAACAGAGAGCCTTAAAATCACCCAGAACTGGTGCTGCTGCACTTTATTTCTGCGCTTGGAAAGTTCAGTGGTGTATCAGGGACTGCTACCTCAGTACTGGAGGCAGGAAACTTGAAGAGGAGCAGTGTGTGCAATGGCAGCGGGAACTGTTATGGCCATCTCCAGTAACTTGTCCTAGTTTATCATCCAGGGTCCTCTTTCACTCTGCTTTTTCYGGGGGGATGCAGAGGAAAAAGTGGAAAATAGTACTGTAATTGTTAGAAAAAAAACAATACATCTACCTTGTTAAAAAACAAAAAGCTTTTCTTCTGTCATAGTGTTTCAAAGAGAAAACATTACAGATTTGGGTATTTGTTTTTAAGACTTATCCAATTTCAACTATAGACTTACTTCCTTGCGACCTTCAAAACCCAAAAGATAGTATAAATGGATCAGTATTGTGAGATCAAGGTCAAGAATAAAAATTGAGAGTATTTTAAGATAAAAGATTACAACAAATCAAAGAAATACATGTATTACTTTTTAAGATATGCAGCTTCAATGGACTGTTAACATCAATGAGATATATTTAAAGTTTTCTATGTTCAGTTCTATAGGCAGTATAGAATGAGAGAAACAGCTGCATCTGAAGTAGATGATCTAGTTTAAGAAAGTAAGCACCTATTCCTGCCAAGCAGTTGGTTTAAAAACCTATTAAAATACAAGTGGTTTTACAGTAGCTTCCTAATTAATTTAAGTAAGGAGTATGACATGCTTGTAATAAGTTGCATGTTCATAAGTGAAGAATACAGGATTTGGGTTTTTGTTCCCTTATAGAAAATGAATAACCCCTGTACTTCTTGCTACTAAACAACTGGGGCAAATTTCTGCACCTTTTGAACTTGTAAAGTTATAGAAAATCTGAGCAACAGTTACTGATGGTTCTTTGTAATTAAAAAAAAAAAAAATCACGTAGCACACAGCACATTCAGTCTTAGAGAAGTGGCATATTTTGAGAGACAGTTCGTATCACTTTTGGTAAGTTTGTGCCATTAGCACTTTAAAATTGGAGTATCTGAGCCAGGCAAAAGCTGTGCATGTGCTTCTCTCTGTGGGAAACCCCTTGAAATATTAGTTTTATGGAATATCTTTGTTCCACTGTTCTTTGGAATACAATTAGCTTCCTGCCCCCTCAGAAATTGATATCTTGTTCTTGGGACAAGACATGTTCCAAGAATGTCTAAGAGAGGGCTTATGTGAGATCTTGACAACAATGTGAGGGCTTAACAACAATGGCAGGACATGGTGCTATGCTGGTTTTGGGTCCCAGCATCATGACATTCTGTTGAGAGCAGGCCCAGGAATTTGTTATCCTGCTCATGAACATCCAGCTTAAATGCTCTCTCTTGGATCCCACCCTTTTAATGTTGTCATATTGAGCTGGTTGGTTTGTTTTTGAGGGAAGAGACTCTTTTGCTTTGTCTGCAATACAGCTATGGGGGTTCCAGGGTCTTCCAAGAGAGGATATCTTGTTCCTGACATGCTCACCAAGAAGAGGTGATGAAGCTTATGTAGTGGCTGGAAGATTAACTTAACTATCATGCTGTGGAATGKTAATTGTGTATGTTATGGAATACCATCAAAAAGAGCAGTGAAGTTGATTTATAAGTACTAGGTTTCAGTATTGTATCCTTCAAGATGCTTTCTGTAAGTTAAAGGATTTTAGATTAATTAATTTTTTTATAAAATTTTATAGTATCAAGAAATGATAATTTCTGTATATGATAGAACTACATTTGCTGGTAGGTCTTTAAAGTGCTCTGTTAGCTATTTGCAGTGAGATAATTTTTSTAAATGGAGATACCATGTTTGTTTAACAAGATTTTCTATATAAGTATGGCCTTCCCATTAATTTATGAGAGGATGCTATACAAGAATTGTAGTGTTGATTTTTATTTTCAATTTCTTTCTTCTTACTGAGATTGATCAACCAGCAAACAAAAACCCCTAGCTTTTAAGCACCTCATTTTTCAATACAGATTCATCTCTAAGATGAGAACATTTATACTATAAAAAGTAAACATTTTACTTTTTTTAAAAATAACTTATGTATCTATCAGTACATGTGCTAGGTTATGGTCATTGCAGTTCTTATTTTTAATGAAGCACATACAGTTTGCCTTTGATACGTGAGTTACAACTGTAGATATTGCACTTTATCCAAAGATTCCTGAGGGCAGAGGTCTTACTTTAGGGGGAGGTGAACAYAGGGGGAAAAAAACAATGCATATATGCATTTCTCTTGAGTCTGTTTTGGAAGCTGTTGTAAAGAAGTCACAAGTAAAGAGAAAAATGAATTTTTGTTTTATCAGATGATTCTGGTGTCTCAACTCAGTTGTCTGGGRGTTACCATTCATAGTGTCCCAGGGACAACATAATGTTTAAAACTTCTTTTTTTTTTTGAATGTTTTGTCCTTTAAAGAACAAGTTTTCCTTTAAAGAACACTTGGAATAATAACTAAAGTTTCTTCCTTTAGAAGCAAAAAAGTTGCATTGTTTTGGTTTTTTTAACAGCACAGGACAACTTGAATTGGCAGATGCCATTTCAAACAACCAAATAAAGTACAGGTAGTGTGGAAGGACTATTGTGCAGCTGAACTAAAGGGATTTTGCTGGATAACTGGTTGCCTGTCATTGTCATTAGCAAGTCAGAGGTAATTTCCAAAGCTGTAGTCTGGCAGAGGAGGAGTAATTGCATTTATGTGTATTTTTCAAGCCAAAAGACACACTTTGCTTTTACCAGTGTTTTTACGAAAATTCAAAACTACCACAACATTGTTGCCAAAAAAAAAAAAAAAAGAAAGAGTTAATTTAAATAGAAAAAGGGATTTGAAGACAATAGTGACACCTGAGTGGCCCACAGAAAACTTGTCAGATGAACTCCTGACAGAATTTGGGAGGAATTCAAACTCTGGTTTGTCTCTAGTAATTCCATTAACATTTCAAAGGTTGATAATGTTCTGGGAATTACACAGGAGGGATTATTTTTTTAAATTAGGAATTAGTACTCTGCGCTTCCTGCTATCTTGCAACAGGTACACTGACTATATCTGAGACACTCAGCTTTCTATCAGGTGTTTCTCTATCTGTACTGGCATAATTAAAGTATCAGCCACCTTTCCCTGGTGTGAATAGAGCTGTATCGGTATAAAACTGTATCTGTTGGTAGCTTATTTCTGCATAGCAGGAAACCATCTAGGAGGACTGGCCCAATTCCAGAAATTGTTTTTAATTATATTGCCGTTGCTATGCCTGTATAAATTATTTCTTTTTGAGACCTTGCACCAGATGAAAGTGACTTCAGCCTAGTTTATTTACCCTTGTCCGTACAGCCCCATAAAAAATTACACCACTTCAATAGGTTCAATTTGCCTTTGTCGGCARACTTGCTCTTTACACTGAGTTATCTCCATTTATGCTAAAGGATATAAATAATGAGTGTTTTGACAATGAAAATGTATTTCCTGATAAAAGCTCAATATATGCAGTTAAGACTTGAACAAGTATAGTTTGTTTACTGTGAAGGTTAGAATATTTCCATCTGGCTGTATGTACCAGAGCTTATAGAGGAGCTATAGTACCAATCCTGAATCCTAACAACTATGTTAATCAACATGGAGTACAATGTTTTACATGCTCTTGTCAACTCTCAGCTGCTGTTCTATAGATCAGTGTCTTGCCTCACTTTTCCGCTGTCTGGTATGTGTTACCTAAGAAAGAATTAGGAAGCTTGAAATCAGAATACCAGAACTTGGATCACTTGCAAATAGGGCTGATCTCCATGTGCTTCTTTTATACAGATATTGTTGAACAGACTCAGATCATCTCTATTTTAAAGCTACGAGTGAGGATGAGATCTCTGATCCCATCTTAAAATGTGGAGACGGGATTGTGATGGGGAAAAGATTGAAAATAGTATGAAAAAAAGTATAGGTATATTACTGTAAGCCTGGGAGCAGTAAAGAAAGGYCCTCACCAGAGACTAACTCACAGGAACAGAAAGAGCCAAAAGCCCAAGGGACCTTTGACCATTCAGAGAACATTGACCAACTTTAATTAGTCCCATGCTTACTGACTGTTTCTTCCACCCTGTTGCTGTCCATTCTACCTCTTCACTTCTTCACCCTTCCTGCTTACTACATACACTTCTTTCCACCCTATGTGCCCTCCTTACCCTGTCCCTCCTTCTACATTATTTGCAAGAAAAAGCCACCTGCAAAGTACAACTACTGTTAAATTTACTACAGTGATGCTGTTTGTGCTTTCATGCACTTTTCCCCTGTGCTGTCTTACCTGYTTAGACTTCTTGTCTGTGTGGTCAGGGACCTTTTACTGTTCTGTGTGTTTGCTCTGTCCAGCATAGTGGAACTTCAAACATAGTTTTCGTAAGTCCTTAAAAGACCCTAAGTATAGTTTAAAATAATGTTCCTTTATCCTGTTCTTTTATAGAAATCATTTATAGGCAAATGACCATCCTTAATGAGATGAGATGAGATATGAAATTCCATGGGATGAAAAGGAATTCTGCTTTTGCAGTTTATTGATAGGTGAAGCAGTGATTTAAAAATATTATGTTTCAGCTGTGATTATATTAGTGTCCAGCATAATAGGATGAATGTTTCACAGTGAATTTTCTATTGACTGTGTTTGCATTGCACTTGCAGTGGTTTGCAAATTGCTGGTTTATTTTCCATGTCTTACAGCTATATAATTTGCTTTCTATAAACTATTTTGGTAGGTGTGGGTTGCTTGTCAGAAATCCGTTCCAAAGCTTGAGTGCAAAGGAAGCAGGGTACTAATGATAAATAAGAATGGATATCTTGAGGATAACAATCAATATGACATCTTCAAAAACAGTGCCATTCTGGTAAGAATTTGCTTGTAATTTATTAAACACTATGTGCTAGTTCTCAGTAAAATGTGTTTGTGTCTCTCTCTGAAGATTTGTCTGATGAAATTTTCTTCTGAAAAGTGAAAAGTAGGAGGATTGCTCTATATCATGCAGTATTTTAAATTCTGAAGCAGTGTACAACTTTACTTAGCAATGATTTCTTGCATATAAAACCAGTGAAAGCATCTTTTTAGAAAAGTAAGTTATTTTGGAGAGGCAGTTAGTGGCCATTTATGATTCACTGTTTGTGAGCCTGTTTCTCTGAATATTTAGAACTGAATATTTTTGAACAGTCATTTAAACAAAAAGGCAACTTTTTTCACTCAGTATAACTAATCTCTCGTGGCATATTTCACCACTACACATGTGAATATTCTAACAGGCATTGCATCCAACTTTGCAGGGGATATGAAACATGTAATTCTTGACAAGCTAATCATAGCTGGAAACTTTTAATCCTTGTATTGGTTAAAAAAATATGGCAGCATGCTAAATGACTGTACTGATACTACTTTGTTGGAAGTTCCATGCTATTTAAATAATGTACACAATTAGAAAATGCAAGTAAAAACACCAATAAAACTTCTACTTTAACTGTAGTATAGTACAAGTGGTTCCTTTAAATTTAGTATTTCCAATAACTTAAGCCAGCAATTCCCTAAGCAAAAATTCTTGTTTCCACCACAGCCAAGTATGTTCTTAGCTGTATAGTGTATATATATATAGTGTGTGTATATATATATATATATATGTTTATATATGTATAGCTGCATAGTATAAATGTAGTATATATACGTATACTGACTTGTCAAAATTAAAAAGAATTTGTGCCTCTTTTTCTTCCTACTCTTTAATCCCACTGATTGTTGATATTACAGTGGAACTGTTCTGGTATCAGCTGGCAATTCTTAAAGCTTCATGATAMGGGTATTTTGAGGTGCTGGATGTATATATGCTCTGTAGTAAAAAGCAGCACAGACACTGAGTATTCTTCTGATGAACGAGGTTAATAGCTGAGACAGCTGTTCCAGAGTGTTTCAGTGAAATTAGGGTTTTGACACACCTCAGGAACTCTTAATTTTGTCATGCCATGCAGAAAGCAGCAGTGGCTCAGGTGTTGATCCACAAGCAGGCTTTAATCTGATAGACTGTGTTGGTCAGAGGGGTGGTGGTTTATGTCTGAGAGTGGCAAGTGTGCCTGTCAGAGGCCTTAGCCCTGTCCAGAGGTAACAATAAGGAGCTCAGACACATCCTTGTGCTAACACAGAAACTTCCCATGGGCGCACCGTGAGAGCAGGAAAACAGGGGTGTATCCTCATGGGGGKAAGTACCAGCCAAGCTGATAGAACCCAGTTGCACTGGACTCAGTTGCACATCATAGCAGGTACCCAGGGCAGCCTTAATTAAAGCAAAGCATTCTCACTAAGACACGGGGAGAGGACCTACATACCTGGTAGGTGAACTTCTGTGAAGTCTGTGGCCACACTCCAAAGGTCTTTGTATAAGTGCATAAGTTAGACCTAAAAAGATTAGTGTAAGCAGTCTCTTTATTTGAAGTTAGATTGGCAAGGAAGGTGACTAATAGTGACTGCAATTTAATGTCCTTTTCTGTAATACTCAGTTTTTCATTTTTACTTTGGAGGTGAAAGGGAAATAAAATCTGGCCCTCAAAGTGTAAATGGACTCATTCCAGTGCCAAAATACAAAACACAAATCAGCAACTTTAATTTAGGGGCATACTAGATTCTCTTAACTGCACTGGACAAATGTGTATGTTTGATATATGAATGTCAGCTTAGATATTTGCTTCAATGTGTTTCTTAACTGCTGTGATTCTGTAGGCTAATGTAGTAAGAAGCTAATGTGAAGAAGCTAGGCTGCTTACAACTTTCTTTTTTTTTCTGGGCTAATCTTTCACTCAGGTTCATTGCATGGCAAGTATTTGGTTAATTATTTTATCCTTTTATATTTTGGACCGACTTTTTTGCGGGGAGTATGGAGAGGGGGCTAAGGGAGCTCTGAYAAGTCCTTAGTTTTAAATTCCCTCAGATTCTGAGGGAGGATATCAGGGAAGAAAGACCTAGTTTGCAATTTTCATGTCATAGAGGTATCTTATCTATAGCTGCAGTAGTTATAAAAGTCAAGTCTGGAATGTCTTTTGCTGTTGATCTTTTCTAAGATGACTGTACTGACTGGTATGGTTTCAAATAAAATCAGTTATGTGATTGATTTGTAAAAGAGTTGTCTGTCATTTACTGCTTAATTCCTCTTTTGCTGAATCATTTCTGTGATACTAACTTTATTTGTGACACTTTAGTAGGTGCAGGGCTGGGGGGGGAGAATGTTATAGTTCTTTCACAATTCATTAGTTTGTGGATATTTCTGTAACACTTCCACATGGAATGACTCATATGTTAAATAAACATGCCAGCCTCAAGGCATACCCTTGCTATTGCAGCCCAGAGTGAAACTTGATGCCATTGCACATAAAAATGTGGAAGATGCTCATATCCGTTTGAATCCTTAGGAAGTTGTGTGTGCTAGCAATTACTCAACATACATTCTTTCAAAAAGCTGTGTTTTACTGTGTCTGATTGCTCTTTTTCCCACTGCTGATTTGCTGAGTTTGTAAGCTACATCTATCTTGTGAGCCTAAGTTGAAACTGAGAAATAATAATTTTTTGTTTGGTTATTTGTTTTTTTTTAACAAGGTGGTACAGTTTCATTTATAGACTAGTTGATGAGAGGCTATCGAAGTATCTGATTTGCATTGCCACCTGTGTATTTTTTCAAGTATTTGGACAGATGCAAAAATTTTATTTGGGTTTTATTTGGGAAGTTGGTAGCACAGATCTAATGCTCTCCACATTGTGAAAACACTAATTAGTGTTAGATTGAACCAGCTGGCCTCTGGTTCAGTCTTATCTTTCATTGAATTTTGGCTTTCTAACCCATTTGATTTTTTGTTTTCTAGTAAGAACATGAAAGACAAAACAGATTTATCTATTGATAAAGTCACACAAATTATCACTTACATTACAGATTCTTCCCACCAGAATGTTTCAAGAAGCAGGTTCTTTAGTATCTCTAATAGGGAGAGAGATGACCACTCACAGGAGTGAGAGGAAAGGTGTAGAAAAGTATATGAAGTAAAACTTTCCTGGTATTGTTTTAAATTCTTTAGGATTCAGAAGATCTTTAACATCTTTAGGCTTTTCTCATGTGCCACATAGTTGTGTAAACTCTAAGTCTGCATTGATTCATATATTGAAAGTATGTATATGGCTCCAGAATTTTTGTGCTGTGGTTTTGTTTTTTGATTTTGCTAGGAGTAAGACAGATTGCTGTGACAGGACAGATACTGGCTTTTAAATAATAATCCTGAATAACTGGCTTTTAAATAATAATCCTGTTTGGTCATGTATAGCATGTAGTGGAGGAGTTTATGCCAAAGTGAACAGATACATTTACAGGAAGACCACTCCTTTAATATAAATTTTTCACTTAACAGTGCTCATGGCTGTACATTGGGTGCAACTTTTTCTGTCTATGTCCCTGCTCATTTTTGGGAGGAAATTGTCACTGCTCACCTTACTCTGCTTTCACTATGTGGAGCTTGCCTGTCCCATCCCTTGTCAGCTTTGGTAGCAAGACTAGGCACATTAATGAAAACTATGTGCAGCTGTTAACATCATTGATCACAATTCCACAGGAAATGCTGGAAGGCAATAAAAGCAGCTGTTTCAATCCTGTTTGCAGTTCTGGCACCCCCAGACCAAGTCATCTCAAGTCTTAAGGATGTCTCACTAAAATCAAGTAAAACATATAAAGTTATAACAATTCTACCRTTTAATCTTCAAGTGGTGTTGATGTATAGGCAAGGAGAAGAAAGAGATAGCGAAGTGAAAATACATCAGAAATTACTGCTCTGGCTAGGCTGTTGTGTTTGAGAGAATGTGTGAAGGTGCAGAGAGTGGTAATTGTGCACAGCTCCATTTGCTTTTAATAGACCATGGTAACAAGAGCAAGCCAGAAAAGCGAACATGCTGGTATATTCCRCATCTACAGGTGTAAAAGCTGCCTTTCTGGACTTCCTCTGTTCCTAGTCTTTGGCTTGTCAAGAGCCTTCCTTTGTTTGCCAGGAGACTTCCTGAAATCGTGCTCGTGTGTGCTACAGTATGTACAGTTTTAGTCCTGCTCCTCACTTTCCCACCTGTTTCAGAGCATTTTTTCTGTCCCTAAGATAAGCAGCTCTCGGGTAAAGTTTGGGGACTGAGTTTTGACGAACAAATCAGGGTTTCTTACAAGCATAGAAGGTGCATCGATGTCAGGGGCTGCTGGTACTGTCCTCTTCCTTTTCTCATGGAATCCTTCAGTGCTTTTCTCTCGGGGTACTGGTTTCTTTCACCCGTGGCTGTGCTCAGCTCTGCCGGTTACTGGCACACTGACTATGCCGCACATGAGCACATGCCCTAAGTGGCCTTAGGGGGGTCTCGGTGAGATCTGCCATCGAGCCAGCGCGGCCAGAAATTTCTCCATTGCGATGGYCCGGGCATCGATTCGGTGTCTTCAACCCGCCGCGGCCGCGGCCTCAGCACTGCGGGCGGGAGGCGAGAGGCTCCTGCCTAGGCTCGGCGGCATTAGGACCCGGCGGGTCCTGCCTCCGTCTCTCCCTCCTCCCTCCCCGGGTCCCCCCGGCGGCCCCGGGGAGCGACAGCCGCCCGCAGCCGGCCCAGCCGCTGCCCGGGCGGACGGCGCGCCCGCTCCTTCRTGTCACGTTCCTTTTGTTCGTTTATAGCAGAAACTTAGATCTTCTTTCAGTGTTATACAGGSGATTGTGGCGCATGTTCACGTTCAAAAACGTGAACATTGGCTAATGTTAAAATACATCGAATTGAATGCCTGCATGATTTGCACACTACAAGACTTTTACAACAACTATCTACCCTGCTGAGCTCTTTGTAGCATAGTATTTGCAACAAGACGTTAAGAATCAGAATTTTGACCGTTCAATTATAATTAGAGTGGAGCAGAAGTTGATATATTGTCTGACACTTGGTTTCTGTAGTGCCTGTCACAAAGTAATGGCTCTCTTAAACTGCACATTAATCATCAACAGTAAGTTCAGAAATGTCTGTTTCAGTCCAGACACTCTTAGTGCCAAATAAATGGCTTCAGTACTGTTGGAGTGAGCAAAGAAGTGTTCTTAACAAGGAATGCCTTTACATCTCAATGAAGTAAGTTTGCACCTTTTCTCCCATGAGTTTAGTTTATTGCTATTGCCCACCTTCTACTTAAAAGGAAAAAAGTGGCGGACAACTTTGCAGGTAAACGTCCAGTGAAGTATAGTTCCAATTATGTACATTCAGAACATACTATCAAGCCTATAATAGATTTAGAAAAGCAAAATGTCCCTTCTATTTTAGAAAGTGAATATTTGTCAATTGGTTGTGTTATTAAAATGATCACAGGCAGAAACTGTACAACTGGAAGGTAAATTTGCCAAGTATTTTCACTCAAATATACAGCCTGTGAAAACAGCAAAACAGTAAGTAACCCAAGGAGAATAATTTTTATGTTCCTGTAGTACCCTGGTGGTGAATGGTCCGCTGCTCTCAGAACATAGATTGTGTTGTTTTGGGTTCAGAATTTTTACACTGCCTTTCTGCAGCCTGTTGCTTTGCTTTTATTCCAGACAGCTTTCCTGTCATTGCAGGCAGTAAGGTCTTCTCAGATGCCCATGGACTGAAATTCCCTTCTCTACCAGAACCAGTATCCAAGCTTAAACTCAAATATCACCACATGAAGTTCATGTAGCTCTTTAAATCTCYCAGTTTATGTCCTAGTACAAGCTGTATTCTTTCTCTCTCCACAAGGAGTTCTCAGGCAATCTTTCTGGTTCTTTGTGCTCTCTATATTATTGAGGTCTTGAGTCTTCACTTKCCCTGTCTATCGTACTGTAAGTTGCTTCAGCCTTTTACTTCTGCCCTGTTTACTTGACCCAGCCCCTGACTAAGCCATGAAGTCCCAGCCTTGCTTTGACAGTGCTGGCAGCCTCTCCTGCTCCCCCACCTCCAGACAATATAATATTCTCTTTACCTTCCCAGATACAATGGAAAAAAAATCAAACAAAATATATGAAGCCATATCCTTATGCTCTCTTTGATTTTTGCCATGCCTATCTTAATAAAATTATCTCTCTTCTCTTTGAGAAAAACTTACAATGTTATATATTTTACATATGTTAGGTACTATATAGATTATAATGTTATATATGTTTTTGTAATTGTTAATACAACAGGAAAAAGTGAATCTTAGTATGTGCAATGACAATGTGCATTTCAAAGTAAACCAGGATGATCTAATCAAAATAACCAAGTGGTATAGTTGTGGCATACTAAGGATTCAGTGCTAATTTTAGCTCACTTGTCTGTGGGTGAACAGTAAGCAGTCAATTTCTGGGTGCTTGTTAGCAAGATCTGTGGTAAGAATATTTGTCAAAATAATCCTTTTAAAAAGTGGTAAAGGGAAAACTGTTCAATATCAGGTCTTTGAAAAATAGACAAGCTTCTGAGAAACTGGCTATGATTGGGAATCAGGAAAACTATATTTTAGGTGGAACCTGCGGTGATGTAGAAAACACGTTTATAAATATGCTGGTTTTAATTTTTCACGCAATTGMCTTTACTGCTTTCATAAAAGCTTAATGTGTCCAAACTTTAGTTATTTCAAAATCTTCTGATGGYGACTACTGTTGTTAATGAGCTATTAATACTCTTTAGTGCAAACTGTAGGAAAAGTTATTGTGAGACTGTGAATAAAATTTCAATAATGAAATCAAGTTGCTATTCCTTTTTAAATTATATTTTTACATAGGGATTATCAGATTTGCCTAAACCATAGTATAGTTTCCCGTTTTGTTAGTAAATACCTCCTATTGCTTCAGTTGATGTTAACCCCAAATAAGTTGCTTCCTAATTTCTTTATGCAGTAAGTGGTTTAATTTATACTATCATTGATAGATACATTGGATTTAGATTAATAGCTTAATTTCCATGATAATCAATATGAATGGATTACATATRATGAATGTAAATTACAAATGAAAAATGAAAACATTTCATTTTCATTACAAATGAAAAAAYGTTTAAATATTTTTTCTGTTCAGTTTTGAATTTTCCACACTTGCAGTGCTTTTTTGTAGTTTTTCCTGTGTTGTAACATAGCAAGCATGGAATTATCTGAKCTGACCTTTCTACAGCAATTACTTTACTTGTCCATGCATAATATTCTCAATTTGAAACTTCATTATTTCTCTTCATAGGATATTTTCTATRTTTATTATTGTTCACATTTGAATCCTATTCATACCTTTCGGATCTTTTGGAGAAGGAGTGACCTGTGCCTCATATGGATTTTTTAGTAAGGTCACAGCACTGATTTTTRTAATCCTATTACACTGGTTTTCTTCTAATTGTCTTCCCTTGTTTAAGCTGCCTGTTCTGTTATTTTTATTTTTATTGTAGTGGTGTCTTGAGCAGAGATTTTTTCACTGAACTGCTGAAGTGGGCCCTGGTTCCTTCCTGAGGCCAAAGCAACTGGTGTGCTTTCCCATTACAGGATAACTGATCTAATGATTGACTTCCATTAAACAGATGCAATCCTACCACCCCCTTGCACCTGATACTGGCATGTAGTGGCAGAACAAGGGTTAATGGCTTCAAACTGAAAGGAGATAGATTAGATGTTAGGAAGGAATTCTTTACTGTGAGGGTGGTGAGGCACTGGAACCGATTTCCCAGAGAAGCTGTRGACGCCCCATCCCTGGAGGTGTTCAAGGCCAGGTTGGATAGAGCTTTGAACACCTGGTCCATTGAAAGGTGCTCCTGCCTATGGTAGGGGGGTTGGGACTAGATGATCTTTAAGGTCCCTTCCAAACCAAACCATACCATTCTATGATTCTAGGACTTGTCTGCCCAAGTGATTTAAGGTTGATTTTTCTCTCGGTTTGCTCCCTGAGCTTAGCAGTGATGGCTGTTGCTGTTGTTGCAAAGAGACAGGAGCATACGAGAAGGGAAGTAGGAGGTAAAAGTTGTCCTTTCCATAGCAATCTCCATCAGATGCTATTTTATCTAGCATAAAACTATGCAGAATTGTAACGTAAGTATTAAGTTTGGTATAAATGCAGGATGAATGAAAATGTTTGTGTAAKCAGAAGCTGAAAGAGTGAAACAAAGGGTTAAGGGAATTACCTATACTGCTAGTGAAGGACACCATTTCCAGGACTCCATTCCCACCTGTATCTGTGTGCCACAGGACAGATGCCTTTCCAGCAGAAGACCTTGCATCCTAACAGCAGGAGGATGACAAGGTTGTAGTACCTCATGTACACAGTTTTTTTTTCCCCTTAACCAAACAGGAGAAGAGACTGCAGACACATATTCCAGACCTATATTCCAAACAAGAAAAAGCAGATAAGAGGCAACAACATGACCTGAGATTTATGGAAAGCAAGGTAAGCCAGATCTGGGGGCAAAGAAATGTTCTGTCTCAACTGAAGATTCCTGAAGGACAGCCTTAAGAATCTGTTAAAAAACTAGGTTTTTATTGAWAATTAAAACAACTCCTGGAATGGGGCAAGTACTTCATAGCTGACGGCCAGTGCTTGCGAGTAACTGAATGTAAGACTGTGAGTGAATTAAATCTATGGGAGAATAAATGTCAGTGACTAACATCAATTTATCTGGAGATTTTTTAGGTAACTATCACCTTCCCTTTGCCTAACACATTGAGTTTTACTGCACTAAGTCTCTTACAGTTGTGTCTTTAATTTGAAACCTCATAAAAAAACATGCTGTTCTTTTATGAGTTTATTTTCATTTGTGTCTGTTATCTATCTATCATAATTTAAACTTGATTTAGTGTTTCTGGGGTCCACTTACTACTTTTGGTTAGGTTAATAATTTTCCTTGATTYTGAGTAACTGAAATAATTGCAGATTTTATGCCATGGTGCTCACCCCAGTTTCTGAATTATTAATGACTATACCATAACACAGGACCAAATATGTCCTTTTGAAAATTTGGGGTTAACTCGTCACTATTAATAAAATKTATTATAATGAAATAAAATAATTTAATTCAGTATTTTTCCCTAGTTAGATTTTGATCATATTTTGATCTGTGACTGATTATGTCCTCATTTTTTTGTTTGCTTCAGGAGACATTTTTCTCTTACTTTAGACTTTGAAAGAACTTATTTTTTATTATCTGGAACAAGAACTAGATCATCACAGTGCAGTTGTTCTGTGCTGTTTCTTTTTTACCTGGTGCCTGGCATGACTTTTGGCTATTGTTTATGCAGCCCATTCTAATATCTAATCACCATTTCTCTGAAGAAATTCTTCCTGATATCCTGATTCTTCCTAATGTTCCTATTTGCCCTTCTCTTCTTATTTTGCTATGTTGATTTGTCTTGAGGATTTGCCCATGATTCACACTGGGGAGAAAAAAGCTGGTGCCAGCCATAAGCACATTCCAGGTCTTTGCTATAGATTGAAGAATTTAGTAAATACCAGAGTTGAAATTGGTGCACAGAGCTGTGCACCATCTACCAGGCATATGTGTGTAATGCTGTGGTAACTACATGATCAGATTCTGTTTAGTAAAATACTGAACAGCATTGTTAGACTGTTTTGTATGATTGTATAATAGCTAGTTCCCATGATGCTAGATACCACACAGACATGGCCTGGAAAGATAATCTGCAAGTTTAAATCTTAGCGATGTAAATATAATACAGTTGAAAGTATAAAATATACACAGAAGAGAAGGGAAATGCCAGTGGTCAGGGGGAGCATTCACACTTCAGGGATCCAACTCATGTAAACGAAATCAAAAGACTGATCTCCTTAGGCTATTTCCACAGCTTCTACAGAGATTCCTTCAGAGGACATTTTGCAGTGTTTCAGGAGTTCTTCAACCAAATCGCTCTCAAGGTGCCTCTCTCTATTTACTTCAGGGTAGGATCTGTCCCCTCCATCCCACTCTTGCTTACTTTAGACATTTGAAAATAGGTGATGTGTATATAACTGCTTATCACACATTTTGCTCATAGGGGCTGTACGGGCATGTGTGAGGAGCCATTTTAATCTTGGTTTGCCTCAACACTGCTTGTCAGAGGCATGTGGGGGAAGGGGTGCACAAGTGCAGCCTGCAGGAGGCAAACAGGAGATGGGTGAAGCCTTGTTTCTGGGGGGATTTTGCCTGGCACCACCTCAGATGGCACCCGGAGACACTGCTCWCCCCAGAGACATTTCTCCAGTYGGATGGTGGAAGGGCTCCACCARTGGAARAAGCTTGGACTGGACCAATGGTCTCCTGGTCAGCAGGCAGACTTTGGGAGGAGCCAGGGGGTATAAAAATCAACTGCGCCATGAGCCTTGCTCGCAGAGTTTTGTGGGGGACTTTGCTGAGCTGGAGATGGTCTTCTGTGTGGCTGGGGTTTTTTGTTGCTCACTGCTGGTGGGCTTGCTGCCTTTTTGTCCTGGCTCCAACCTGCCTGGATTTTGCCCTCGCTAACTCTCGCTCACCCACCACCTATCTGCCTTCCCTCCTGGGCGCTCTGCAGGGCACCGTCTGCCCTCCAAGCCTGCAGTGCAGCGTCTGCCTCGCCYCACTCCTTCGCTGACCCAGCCACCGCCTTTCCTGCTTGAACCACCTGCCTGCCTCCGACCTCGCCTGCTGCCATGATCCTCGCTTCGACTGCATCCAGGGTCCTGGACCTGCCCGAGTGTCCACTCACCGTCTGTCCAGCAGCCCATCGCCGCAGGAGCCGAATTGCTCTCCCCGAGCTGCTCTCCCTCCGGCAGCAGCGCTCACCCCTGTCACGTGGATGCCAACAACACCCCCTGGTCCTACTGGTGGTAACGCCCGCTCTCTCCCTCTGTCTCCTTTCTCTTTCTACCCGTTCCTTTTCCATTTTCCTTTCTCTTTTGCTGTCTTTTCCAACCTCCTTTAGTGGGCAACTACTTCTTCTCTGTTTTCGTTACCAATAAATGGTTCTCAGATACAAAGTTTGTCTCAGTTGACTTCATTTTATTCTTGACCATCTATTTTAAAAGAACTCCTCGCAGTTCCCCACAGTTGGAACGCGACAGCATGTTAGTAAGCTGAATGTCAGAGAAAGCTTTGAACAACAGCAATGTTTTCAAATAATTAAGGGAGTTTCCATAAAGTGTAAGGTGTAAGACAGAAAAAGGCACGGGAGGTTTGTTTGAAAACACACCACGTGGGTGTGAGAGGAGCTGAAAACTGGACTCCTGACACTGAATGGTGGGTGGGAGATAGGAAGGGAAGAGATACAAGAAGCATCCCTGAATTTTGGGGTTTTTTATCAGTAAAAAGTGGAGGGTTTTGAAAGTTTTTAGCCAAACACAACATGATAATCAAATTAGACAGTATGTTCTAATGGTGTTTTCAGCTTATGTTTTATGAAAATTGGCCCAGCTTCTAACATGAGCAAATCACAGTTGTCTTCTTGACAATGRTTAAGAAGAAATAGGTGTGGTGGTGGTTGACAATGATTGGTCCTGAATGTGAGGACAATAGGTGTTGCAGTAGTCAGGAAGAGCTGTGGAGAGAGTGATGTGTTCTCCGAGTGTTTGATTAGGAAAAGGGTCTTTGCAGCAGTTTTCTGAGTGAATGTGTGTGATATTAGGCTGTGCTTCTTGAAAGCAGAGAGAAAAAATGTTGCTGAATCAGAAAGCAGTGAGCAAAATCTTGCTGAATCAAAACATGATGATGATGATTAGCCTGATTGAATACTTTAGCTGATTGGGAGGATTAAGAAAAATACCATCTTGGAAATGTTGCATTAAAAGTATCTGCAAATTATGAATATTAATCATGGCATTTGGAATGTCTTTGGGATCTAAAGTGATGCTAGAGTTATATACCTATCTGAGCAATAGGCAGGATAATGGTGTAGCTGTACRTCTTCGTGTATGTCACCAACAGTTAAGTGATTCATAGGAAAGCCATAAAGAACTGTCCTCCAATATAATTGTATTCTTTGTTATTTGAAGTTCTTCACTCCTACAATTGCTTCCCACATAATATTGTTCAGAATATTTCCCCACCTGCCACAAAGGACTGGACATTAATTGTTGGGTTTGATATGTAATGTCACAATGGTATGCCTAGCATGAAAAGATGTCTTTTCATTTAGTGGGAAGGCACTGATCTTTTAATTTGGTTTATAGTAATACTGAACATAGATACAGTAATTTCTTCCAAATTAAATTATGWAGTCAAGTCATCTAATAACTATCCTCCATAGTAGTTCAGTAATAATTAGTTGATTCCATTCTATTTTCTGATTCTGCCTGATGATGTAAGAATTCCCCCCAGGAGGAGGAAGCTTTCGGATTGCTTGAGAATTTTATAGCTAGGTCCCATACCAGTCACAGTTGTCTTTTCCTTCCCCCTTCAGCATGTACCAGAATTCACAGCCTGAGAAAGGACAGAGAAAATAATGTCTGATTTTGGCTAATTTTCCAGTGGGTGTGTAGCTGTATGGGCATGGTAGCAAACATATGTGAATTAGAATTCTTTCCAGGCTTTTCTCACTTAAACCAGAGATGAGGCAACTTTAGTATCAAGGAGACATCACCTGAAGAAAAAAACCCAAACAGTTGKTTTTTTTCTTGTTATTTCCAGCAGGTGTAGAAATCTAAACTAATGTGTGTTTGCAAGAGCAAGAAGAAAGGTTGTCTTAGGTGTCAACTAGTGAGGTGTCCAGATTAATAAGATAAAGCTTGTAGTGTGCTTCAGGAAGAGAAATTAAAACTTGCCTTTCCTCAGAAATGTAACTCTGGCAAAGAATTTGATATTAATAGCCCATCAATAGTTTCAGGTTATTCAGAGAAAGAGCATGATAGCCAGATAAGGCAGTAGATTACTCTTTGCTTGCTAAAAATTTGAGAAATCATAAATTCATGAGCAAACGTGCCCCACTGGGCCCTGGGACTGGGAGCTCTGCCTGCACACAGCAAGGCTTAGCCCTGCCAGGTGCATCTTCCCCCCAAACCCCAGTGACCCCCAGGTTTGAGGCTGTAACTCTCTGGGGATAAAATAACCAAAATCTGACACTGTATTTGAAGTCCACTGTTACAGATTCTTTACCATGTGCTGGTTTCAGACATACGTGTGGTGTATAAGTGGGATTTCAGCATTAAAATGGCATTAAAAATGTTGATATCTATCCTGAGGTAACATAAACTCTAAAAAGACAAAGCCATTTCCTTCACAAATTTTGGAAATTTCATCCGCCTTGCATATCTGTGGGGTTTTTTTATGTATTAAGTGGTCTAAGTAAAGTCAGTGTTTCATCTCAGCAAAAAAGGCTGTGTCCATGTGCATGGACAACTGCAAATAATATTTTTTTCCCCATCCAGAAATAATAGCAGTTTGAGTTCTTATCCTTCCATGAATGCTATAGGCTGTCTCGGTTAGAGACAAATGTTTTCAGAAAAATGTTACAGAGTAAATGTTTCCTCTGAAGTGGAAAAATTGATAACTTTTTCCCACCAATATGAAATAAATGTTCGGGCAAAAGTCAAGAGAAAAAAGTAAAGTAGTTTATTAACAAAACACAGCACCCACAGCACACAGATAAAAAGTAACTTTAGATATTTAAAACTCAGGAACACACACCGCCCCCTCCCACACGGCCGCTCACCAACTGGTGCGCAGAAAGATGGCAACCCCTGTCCCCAGGAAAAAAGAAACAAAAGAAAAGAGTCCACGCGGTCGCTCTGATAACAGTGGGGGGAAAAAAAACTGATTGTAGTCCTTTTCCTCACTGTGGATGAAATAGAGGGCTTGGTGTATTTTGCTGTTGCCAGCTTGGCTTGTTCCGGAGTCCGGGATGAGACGTAGCTGCGTGGCTTCTCCCCGCCGGCTGCCGAATTGCTCCAGAAACAGAATCAAAGCAGCCGCAGAGGGGATCTGTCCAGGGAAAGCTGTTTGCACAAGCTAACAAACCTGRGCTTGCTAAACGGCAACAATGTAACTCCCCTGCAAGCAGGGAGCAAGGACTCCTGAAGCGCTGATCTGAGCTCAAAAGCCCATGAGCTGAGCTCAAAAAGCAAACGTCTGTGCGGAGCCCTGGCTTTTAAACTGCCCACRCTRCTCCTGCCCCTTCTTCCAGGTCGCATTTGAAGGCGCAGGCACCTTTTGGGCATACAAGCCAACAGAATAGGAATACAGAATTGGCACAAAATCAACCCAAGACATAGGCAAATCAATGTCTCAGTGAATTTAAGATGTTCATGTCCTCATGTATTTTGAGGTAATTTTTAAACTTTTTTTTTTTTTTTTTTTTAAGAAAAGGTAAAATCTACATCTTTGCTTTTGTGGTTGGATTAGATGCTCCATGAAAGTGGAACTTTGTAAGGTGTTAGCAGTGATCCCACTCCTCCATACATTACTGTGCTGAAAGATCTCGCTCTGCCTTGCAACATTCTTGTTATTCCAGAACTGGGTTGGGCTAGTCATAATAGATGCAGGCAATCAGCTCAACTTCCCCACACACAGCTCTGCCAGGAAAGCTCATTTCACCTTGCAACACTCCTGTTTTTCCTGTGTCCTTTAAGTGAAAGCTATCAATTTGGCACCTACTGTGGATCTGTCCTTACTGCTGCTGAAATCCAGGATAACTTTCTTAGTGATGCAAGAGGAAAGTGTTGCTGATATAGATAAATATCTGCTTGTGACTAGGATGAAACAAAGTTGCCTTCTCTGAATGACTGAGATTTTGATCCTGGCAATAGATGTGACTAACCTGTGTTCCACTTCTGATTTTATTACAGCAATAAATTCCGGTGTGACTTTAGATATCAGCTCAGTTACCGACATAATATGGCCTTCTGCAAGGCTGTGCTTTTTCCTGAGAAAAAGGTTTCCCTTTTAATTAGAACACTAGAGTTTTCAGTGTTGATCACTGTTGTTTTATTTATATTAAAAATCTATAGAGCAGTCACCAAGATGCAGACAATTATTGGCCTACTGGCAACATCTCAGTTTACACTGGTGTTTGTATCTGGGTCATGTAATTTTATGCAAAATCAAGTAAATGTGTGACACAATAAAAGAGTATGCCAAAGAAAGGATTATTATTTCAAAATTTTGAAAAAAATATGTGCATGTTTYCTCTTTGCTTCCTTTATCACATGAAATAACACATTAAAATCTAAGAATKCTCTAGGCAATACACAAAACTAAAAAAGACTATTTTGGTGAATGAGCATGGTGAAAGGCTATGAATATGCATATGTTTGTGCTAAGGAGCCTAGAGGAGATACTTTTTATGTGTGGTGAAACAGAAATACATACTTATAACTCTGCACACCAGGGAGAGAATATCCCCTAAATCAAGTAATTTCTCTTGTAGTACTCCCTGTTGATCAAAGCTGCATAATTAAAAGCATCTAGAGGCAGCTTTAAATTATTCACAATATTTTTTAAAATTATCTTGGTATATTGCAGACAGTATTTGTGTAACTAGCAGTCTTTTGTAAGTTCTATAAATTTTTGCATCCTTATAGAGATCATCTCTAATAGTTTGAGAAGAGGGTACATAACTTTGTGTATCAGGGGCAGAAGAGATTCATTCTCACACCGTGTTGGTCACATCACACGAAAGTGCCAGGCACGCAGGAGCATAGGGAAGGGCACGGCAGAGCCGGCAGTCTCTTGGTCTCAGGCCGAATGCTTCTGTGTGGCGGTGCCTAAGAGTTTTCTGATACCCTCAAAAGCCCCAAATAGGAATCCTGCAATTAGTGCATCTAACTCCTCCTTTACTGCAGTCTTCTCTCCTATTGGTGAAAGGTCTTCGCAGCTCATGTAGGGACCCCACCCCTTTTGTGGGTTTTCATTCTGAAGCTATCCACAACTTTACACCTGAATGAATGCCAAACCTCTCTGAATATATAAAGGAAACCTTCAAGAGCACTTTCAGTTACCCAGAAGAAGCAGAAGGAAAAGATTTAATCCAGCTCTGTCAGACAGAGACTGAACCAGCCATGCTTCTCCCTGCCATTCACTTCTATGGCTTTCTCCTGGCTTGCATCTTCACGAGAAGCTACGTGGCTTTCAAGAACGATGCCACAGAGATACTTTATTCCCACGTTGTTAAACCCGCTGCGGCGAGCCCAAGCAGCAACAGCACGTTGAATCAAGCTAGGAACGGAGGCAGGCACTACACCAGCACTGGATCCGACCGTAACAGTGAGTATCCCACCGGCGGCAGTTCCACCGCAGCCCCTCCCGGTCCCGGGAGCGGGAGCAGAGCCCCGGCCGGAGCCGCGCATCCCGTGGCAGCGGCCCGACCCCCGCCCCGGCGCGGCGCTCGGGAACCGCTGCCTGGGGCACGGGGAGATGCTGCCGGTTCCGGGCCGGGCTCTGCCTCGCCGGGCGGCCCCCGAGCCAGCCGCCCTCCCACCCCCGTGCTGGGAAGTCCTGTAGGACCGGCTCCCTCGAGCAGGTTACTTCCTGAGAGAGGTTCATCCAGGAATGCCGGGCTCTATGAGTTATCCGGCAGGAAAGCGAGATAAAGAAAAAGGAGTGAGAGGMATTCCCAGAGCGCTCGCTTTTTTAACACACCTCCCACTGCGGGCAGGGGAGGTGTYTGGGCTACTTTTCAAGTGCAATAAAAAACTCCGAATTTTGTACCCGCTGTTTAGTTTTACTTCCTGCTGTGGCACTTACCCACTTAACACCTCCAGCAAAAGTAAACAAATCAGCTCATAATTTACCTATGATCTCTGCTCTAACTTGCCTTTTTTGTATCCAGTCTTTTCCTTCTGGGTTTTATGTATATATGTCGGATACGTGGGGRTCTGGAAACCTGATGAGTTTATTTCTTCCCTCCCCTGCCCCCCTCCTTAAAATGAAAGAAATCCAAACAGAGAAACGCATGCACACCCCAACCCACCCACAGCAATTTAATAAAAATAGCGTCATCCCTGGAAAGTGAAGGCAACAAGTGACACCGATACCTTTTAGCTAAGCCAGGTGTGTCAACTTCTATGAATGCTAAGGATTTAAATGCACAGGAAACATCTCATCATTATGAGATTACTGGAACAGCCCAGCAGGTATTCATTGTCACTGAGCTGTCACTGGTGAAAAGCTGAGCAAGGGAAGACAGAAAAACAGAAGGAAAGACAAACTCAGATCTGTGACCAGCTGCTTCCAGGTACATTCCTGAGTGCAGCTGCAGGAAGCCAAGCTTGAATCTGTTCAGCAAAGCAGGCAGTATAACAGCCCTCCGAGTAGTCCCTGGGATCAGCCGGCAGATTTACAGTCCCTCTGCCTGCTCGTCCTGAGACACAGAGGACAGGGTGAAGCAATYTTAACTCAGTGCCTCGGTTCAGAAGTTGCTTCCAAAAATCCAAGTAGAAACAGAAGCAGCCTGTAGCTGTGATATGTAGATGTACCTTCAAAGCCTTTTATGATTCACTCTGAAATGTTTCTAGTAATTACTTCTATTTTAAAAGCGTTAGTTAATTGCATTGTGTGTAGAATCTGTGCAGTAATTGTCCTTCGGAAAGAGGGAGAGCACAGCCAGTAAAGATTGCTTATTAAAATTAAGCACACTGTGGGCGTTTATTTCAAAGTGTAATTACTGAAATAAACAGTTGTGTTTATTGCAGGGTGCAGAACCGCACATACAGGCGGGTRCAAACATGCCTGTATGAGAAGCTCTGCATGTTGATTCTGTCAACTGCCTGAGAGAATTTGCAGGATCCTCTACGTTACATATAATACAGAGACTGCTAGTTACAAAGATGGTGTTCTCTTGAGGGCAAAATGACCCCTCTGAAACTGTTACTCCTAATCATTCAAACTTCATAGGCAGAACACCATTCAGTGGTAACTTCAGCTGTTACCACTTCTGCAGTGTCTGTTTGGAGCTGCAGAGCTCATGGGACACTCMGTCCACTSTAGCCATGGAATGAGAAGAAATACRCTATTTGAAAATAATTTTAAATGTTTCAACTGTTTTCAAAGCACTATTTTCTCTCTT